AAAAAAAAAAAAAAAAAAAAGGAAAAAGGAAAGACGAAAAGACGAAAATGTTTGACGAACGAAATTTGTATCGTACGATTCGTCAACGCGTTTAAGTGCAACGTACGAAGAGGCGAGTTGCAGCTGCAACACGTCGTGAAAGCACCACGCCCATCGTGATTGCGGAGACCACTCCCATCTGTCTGCACGTCGTTGCAACCAACACGCCTTCCGTTTTACCTCGGCAGCCAGTCACGCGATTTCGTGTAACACGTCTGCAACTTTCGACGCGATGCTCTATCGTTCGACAATTTCCGCGTCTTCGTTCGAGCTTTATTTTTATCACACCGTGCACCATCTCTCTCCCTCTCAAACATGTATTCGTTGCTTTCGAAGCTGATGTCTTTGGTGATGACTTACGGATGATGGAAAATTCGATCTTCCTTGCATTTTAAAATGGTAACGCTTTTTTTTTCATTTTTCGTTGTATCAAACGTTTAAAATATTTTAACGAGATTGATAGCGAACGGTTCGACGTTAAAAGTTATATTTTATATATTTTCATAGTTTAAATTATTTTTGGTAAATTTTAGCGATCGAGAAATTTAAATGTTTCGATATTTAGAATATCGAATCTTTTCGACATATTTTTGGTCGTTTAAAAAATTCGTCCACTCGCGCTATTCTTCTATGACTATAATTTTCGTGATATCTGTTCAAACGCGTCTATTAATCTTATCAATCTCGTGTAAATACGAAAAAACATTTGAAAGACTTAAAAAATACCGTTTATTATATATGGTGTTAAAATAGCTTGATATAGGAAACGATAAGGGGAAAGTAAAAGGGAGAATGATGGCGGTGTGCCGTGTATGGTGAATTCGAGCGACGAAAATCGATACTAGAGCTTCGCTTTGACATTCTCATCCCTCTTGATGTCACGGATTCGTCGTGCCTTCGATTCTCTTTCGGTAGCCATCTTTTCTATTTCAATTCTACGATTGAAAGGCGTACAATCAAGCTTATCTTACCTCTTGAATTTGAAATTATCGATAGGACAAGAGATCGAAATGCAAAATGCACGGTAGACACCTTCCGATATCGATTCGTATATTAGTAGTAGATAAAAATGATAATAATAATAATAATTTAAAGGTAAAATTCGAAATTATTCGAGACATGGATAATATATAGCGAGTGTATTCGCATTTGGAATTTTGATAATTTTGATGTGGAAAGAAAGCGGTCCCTTAAGAAAATAGTAGAAAATTTGATCGCGTCGGAGGAATTTGCGGGAGAGATGGCGAGAAAAATTTTGGCCTCGTCCGCTAGAAGAACTCCCAGGAACGTATGCGGTGAGATTTAGGGCCAATTTAGGAAACGCTTACATTCGCACGCGCACGGGTTGGTGTATGGGCGCAGATTGAGAGTTGGTTCGCGGATCGGACCGACCAAACGAGTTTTCAAGAATTTACTCGGCGGAATGCCGGCAACGCTCACTATTCTAACTGGCGTGTGCTACCGTAAGGGCCCTGTGCACGCTCGCTACCTTCCAAGTAGCAGCGACCGCGTCGTCAAACATCGATTCTCGAAATTAATGAATAAATAAGGAAGAACTTGCGACTTGTTCGCTCTCTTGGCCCCCAAATGTATATCGATTCCACGATTCGAGAAAATAAAAAACCACCTTGTTGATCGTCATCGACCAGATTTTTCAGAATTTGGTTAAAATACATGAAGGGCAATTTGAAGGATTTCGAGAGATTTTGTGCTCCAGGGAATCGACGGTGACAAACTTTTTCTGCTTTTCCCTCATTATCCTTTGAAATTTATCGAAGAATATTTCCAAACAGATCGAATCGTAAACTCGGATCGACCTATACTACTATGCCGATCGTGCATCGAAGAAAAATTTCCGTTGATGGTAAACGAGTGTCCAAAACACTCGATTTTATTTTTATCCCATAAAAGTATTTATTGAAAATTACACCTTTTTTTTTTGTTATCCAATCGGACTTAAATTTCACGTTGAATTGAGTGAAAAAGCGAGGGATAGGCGAGGAAGGATTTGGATGGATAAGTTTCGACGCGGTGTCTTCGAATTGGAAATCGGCCGCCATTAGAACGCCGCCTGACGCTCGGATTAGGCCGCGAGTCCACTGGTAATTATATAATTGCGTAAAATTAACTCGACCGGCATATAAATTGGTTGCCGTTTAAGCGCGATTAAGAGAAATAAATCGCAATTACCGTGTGACATCCGACGACGACGAACAACTGTAGATGGTCATGGTGCACCGCGTCGTGACGTTTCTGTCGGTTGTTTTATCCTTCCCCCCTTCCTCCTCAACCCCCCTCCACTTGTCGCGCTTATGTCTATTACTTCTGCGAAGTGATTAATTTAATTGACCGTCACCGACAGTCGTATCGACGAATTCGATGCATCATCGCGCGTTCGATGACGATTATAGTCGACGCGCCACCGGAAGTCGACTTGTTCCTATCGCTACTACTTCCTTCTTCGTTACTGCTCGGACCAAGCGAAAAGGTAAAAAAATGTAAGAGACGATTTTAAGGAAAGGAAATAAAACGGAGACGAGGAAAAGAAGAAAGAATTCGTTTCGAACTTGGCTCTTTCGATTCGATCGACGTTTGGACTTGTATTGCACCGTACAAAGTTAGGGCAACATTTATTAACACATATGCATAGAATACGCAAGCGACGAAGAAAAGAACGTTTTTTTTTTGTGGGAATTGGGGATAAAAAGGATTGTTAGAAATTTGGCGGAAGTAGTGATTTAAAGAGATGCAATAACGGGATTGTTAAGATAATGGTAAGCGCGGGTTTTCTATTCCCACGGTGAAACAAGATTCGTAGAATCGATTGACGATTCGTTCGAGGAAGAGAAATCCGTCGGAAAGATTGAAGTGGATTTCCCGATCGCGTGGAAAAAAGATCGATGCAAATTCCACGAAATAAAATAATTTGCAAACCGTAGATATCGTATTACGATTCGATTTATCGATTGTATCGAAAGCTAAAAATTCAACGGTAAGAAGGAAGAAGAATATTACTCGGAAAAACTGCAACGAGAAGTTTCTTGGAAAGAACAGGAAGTTGAAAAGTTGCGAAAGAACTTGGAGCGGAAATCGTGAAATCGGGAGGAGGGAGGGGGGGCGATGGAACTGGATCCAGAATGTTAATTTAATGCAGTTCACGTAGGTACTTTTATCTTTCCGGAGGTAAGCATTAATTTCCCGGCGACCGTGAACAGAGACGGATTTATGAGCGAGATTCGTTATCCGAAGCGGAAGAGTGACGGGCTGATATCGCGAAATCTATTGCTTCCGAACACGCAGCCGCCACGACGTCGCATCGTCGACTTTGGATCGACTTAAATCAAAACGCACACTCGCCGGTGAATGCCAAATTGAATTCCATGCGCTATCCCTTCTCTCGCAAACATTTCGTTCGCTCCTTTAATTTACCTTTTCCGATTATAATATCTACTTGTTCCATTCTTTCGTCGAATTGTTTTATCGATTTTGAAAAACTTTCTATTTAATCTCGACAATACATTTTGTTGTCCGTAATGAATAATTAGAATTATTATTTTAACGGAATGTATACTCATATAGCTTTTGATTTTGTTATTAAAAATTAATGTTTGCTGTTTAATATAAATAGAAGGCAGAGAGCAGAGACGAGAGTAACGATTGACTTTGATAATACGACAAACTAATTACGGTACAAATTTGTATATAATTGATATTTATTTTTCGCTTTATCTACGAGCAATAATAATAATTACTCTCTACTCCGCTCTACTACTCTCCGCTCTATATTTTTCAATTATGACTCGAAAAATTATTGACTCGTACTACTCGTTATAGCAAAAAACTTCCAGCGAAGAACAATTTCTTCTCAAGTTATACGTTTATTATTAATTAATAAGTTTTTGAAAAAAATGTTGTTTAAATCAATTATTTAATTCTATACGTACAATTATCACGATTCACATCGTCGTTGCGTTATCGCGCAAAACTTCAAGGAGATTCTTTTAAATAATCAATTTTCCAAATCTCTCTTCAACGATATTTATATACAAATGGTATACGTAACGATGATCGAAGAATTTGAGAGAAACAATCACTGGTATGTTACTTAAACCTGAAACCACGTCGCTCCGTTTTCCCCCGATCAATCTTGTGCGAATCGCACAACTCCACGCTTCGATTACCGATCGACTTTCAATCGAGAAACGCATCAACTGTACCGATTCATCGGCGAGGAAAAAGAAGGAAAGAAAAAAAAGAGGAATCGAGCGACATACGTTGCGAGCCATCGAACGCGTTAAATGGCCGGCCAATTTCGATACTGTTTGGGAGGCATTCGTCGCGTAGCGTCGGTGAAGCGGTTTCGCGCGGTCGAGTGTCGCGAAACAAAGAAAGGGGCCGGTTTGGCGCTCTCAATATTTCCAGGAGAATTAATTCAGGGAATCTTCGCCATAAATTCTAGTCCGTGTGGGACATTCTCTGGGGAGAAAGAGAGAGAGAGAGAGAGAGAGAGAGAGAGAGAGAGAGAGAGAGAGAGAGAGAGAGAGAGAGAGAGAGAGAGAGAGAGAGAGAGAGAGAGAGAGAGAGAGAGAGAGAGAGAGAATATTGCGGATCCGCGTGTTGGTACAGCCGGGTCTTTCTGGCACGCGCCTCGAAAATGGCGTCGGCCGGTGACGTCACGTAATCCACCGTCGTGCTCGTGCACCGTTTCCACGGGTGAGAGCAAAAGGGTAGCCGGGGATGGCTAGCGAGCCTCGATTGGTCAGCCAGCTGGATGGAGGGAGTGGTCGAAAGCTGCCGGTTTATATCGATCTCTCGAAGTCGGTTCGTTCGCGGATGGAGAGACACTACGGTGAACCGGAGCTGGCTCCGCGGCGAACGCGCGTCCTCTTCGTCCTTTAATCCTCTCCTTCGAGGACCTCGAAGGAGGGCTCCAATGTTTCCGTGGCATATGGATCGCACGGATTTGACGATCGTTAAATGTCGGCCCAAATTTTCATAATTTCATTACAGGATATATCGTGTCCGAAGCGTTAGCCAAGCGTTGATTTAAACTTGATTCGCAACGTGGAAGAATCGAAATTTATCGGAAAGGATAATAATTTAAAGTAAAGTCGAATAGAAGCTGGATCGATTAATTAATTAATCAATCAATAATTATTCGCGTAAGTACGCGAAATATCAATATTGCGTTTTTTGGCTCGTGCCAATAGAGAAATTTTCTCAAGTTTAACTCCAAGGAGGAAAGTTGTATAAAATTCGAATTTCGTGGGACATAATTCGTCGTTTTTGTGGAAGGATTCTTGGCAAGGATTAGAGCCATGGGAAACGTTGAAGGCACAAAGATTTAGAAGCTTAATTTCCAATTAATACTCGCTCATCGGTGCGATATACGAGTTTCGAGGTGGGGTGAATCAAAGTGGGGACTCTCTCCTTTACCACGAGTATATTGGATTTCAGGCTGCGAGGGGTTTGACCCCCATTGATAAGGGTCATCTCTTTCGATACGTAACCCCCGACGTTGGCGGAGGGTCCCATTACGACGCGAGGGTCGGGAGTTTGCTTTTTAAAACGGGGGTGTTCGATTTAATTTAATCCAAATGCCCGACTCTCGTCTTTTGACGAACATTGAAATTCAGCATTCGAGATCCAAGGATGAACAAAAGGGGAAAATTAGCGAGCGAGAAATTATTAATTTTTAAATAAGTTGGATTCGCAATCGAATTATTTATTTTTCTTAAATATTTTCTGTTCTGCGACTTTTAATAATTTCGAATTTTCAACGAAAAACGCAAAGGATAGATTTTGCAAAATTCTCGAGTTAAACGCCGAATTTCCACCGACTTTACGCTTTGTTTCTCCGTTGAAAGGACCGAAGGGAATTCCTCCTTGTACCATCTTGCTGCGCTCTTTGATATCGCGATATTGAATGCCGAAACATTCATAACAGGTGCGTTCGTCCGTAACTTTGTATTCATCGAGTTGCGAACGTCTGAGGTTTCGAATGGAAACACTTGGGCGTGTAGATATTCTTCGTACAATAAAGATTTAACACAACTACGTCGATCAAAGGCGGCTCGTTTTCGAGAAGATTATTTTTAAAAAACTATAATAACAGATATTCTTTTAATACAATATACGAACATACATACTTGGAAGTAGAAGAAATTTTTTTTTTTCTGATAAATTTAAAATTTTCTAATAAATATAAGTTAAATGTTTATTAAGAATAGCTTTCACTAGAGATATATGAGATGTATTATCTTCCATCATTTCGCTGAAAAATTATACGTACGCATAATTAAAGAAATAATCTTTCGTTCGTAATTGTTCAGTTTTATTCCACTAATATCCAAACATTATATCTACCTGTTCTTCGATCGTAATCTCCGTGAGAGAGCGAATTCTAATTCGATACGGAGGGCGGGCGAATAACGTATAGCATGAGTGTCAAGACGATTTATGCGAGCCGCGTAAGTGCCTACTTACGTGCCTATAACATTTTCACGGTTCAGTATGCGAAGCCAATATGCCGGAACGAAGTGGAAGAGGGTGTTGCTGGTAAATGATGTGTCGGATAACGCGGACAATATTGGCCGGTGTTGGCTGCTTTTCCCTCTCCTACACGTTTATGTGCCGTATCATTGATTATGACCTCCCCCATTTTCTTTTTTCCCCCCATTTCAACCGAATACATAATGTAAAAGAATATTTGGAACTATCGCGATTCGCAACTACGATCGAATTTTACTTTTCTCGTCGAAACGAAGATAAAGTTTCGTCGTGTATCGGAACAATGATTTAACTTTAAGAATTTTATCTCTATATCCACGAATTTCGAATTTATCGAATTAAGTCGAGATTATCGATCAAATATTTATCACGATCGTCGAAACATCGGATTTCTCACGACGCGTTTTCGTTTTCCGATCGACCGGCTTTCTATAGATTAGCGCGGTTCGCGTTCGCCATCGGAGATCGAATCTTTTGTATGTTTTCGCTTGTGTTTCTTTTTTCGTTTTTTGTATGTGTGCGTGCGCCAATATGGCAACGCGGCGGACGCACACGTAGCTGACTTTGAAGCAGCAGGTAGATCCACGTGCTGACACGTGTATAGGCCGACAGATACAAAGTTAATCGGCCGTGTCGTACACCACGTGCCGTGAATTTAAGTATTCGAAAACGTTCGTCTTCGTCTCGCTCGTTGAAATTGAACGGTTCACGAAGGAGATACGTTCAGATGTAGATATAGGATGGACGACGATCAGAGAGTAGTCGTCATAGTTCTGTCGTAGTCGATCGAGTTACGCGTGGATGAAATTAAAAGGAAATATCGTTCCACGATATTTATTAGGGGATTTTATTGTTGTTCGCTTTAAAACGAGAATCAAAGTTGTTGTTAATTACGAACGATCTCGAACGAGGTACTCGAAGTCGAGAACCGGAATGATCCGTAGGGTCACTGTTTCGAGATATCGAGATGGAAGATAGGTTGGGACGCATCCGTGCAACCGTTGTAAAGAACGTGAGATCTTAACTGGTCGATCTCGTGACATATTCCGTTGGTTCTCCATCCGTTCCCGCCGGTTTGTCCGTCCGTGTCGCTCAGCGGGTGCCATCACCAGTTCTGCACCCTCGCATCCGTCAAAACGTTGACTCTTCTTTTATTACGTGGTTGGCCGCGCGTTATAAATTTCGATGGACGATCGAAGCCGAACGAAAAATTCGTTCCTATCTTTTCGAATAACCAATTATCCGTCCTGTGCGCCAAACTTGTATCGTCATTGGTATCCGATCGGGATCGTTACGATCTACGAACTTTGCGAGAATTTCTAAAATAAAATTTGTAAAATTGATTCGATAATGCAAAAGATAAACTCATTCGTCGAATGAAATATCTCGTTACCATCATCGTTAAATTTATGTAAAAAATTGATGGAAATTAATGATATACGATACACATACACACACACACATATGAATAATACAAGGATAAATTGTATATTAAAGATTGGTATTTTGTCCTCCGTGTTGCAGGTCTCGAGTCTCAGGTTCAAGATTCCAAAGACCTTTATTGGTTCTAGAAGCGAGTGACGGAGTCTCGTGGGCCGAATTAATTCGCAACATCCGATGGGTGGATCCGCGAAAGAAAGAGGCACGAGCTCTTCGAAACCGCGAACAGGAATCGGAAGAACAAGGAATTGTCATCCTCGCTCGAACGAACGTAGCGACAAAATGGCGAATAGGACGCTGTTGGGACGCGATCGAGGAGAAACGAGGCTGCTCTGAAACGTGATACTAGCGTGCTAAGGAACGAGGCGATCCATCCGGCGAACGGAGAGCTGATGGACAAGAGGGAGAGGAGAGGAAGAAATTTTTGTTACGTTACGGTCGGACGAACGTATGCGAACATCGTTCACGCCGAGCAAGTGTACATAGTGTTACCTAATTTACTTTAAGGATCTACTATTAGCGTACAACTCGGATAGTATTAGAGGAACTACTTTGCGCGCACTATTACCTTTCATAGTGACTGACGACGAAATTACTTACTACATATATGTCCGACCGGCCGGTGAAAATGACAGATTCTCTAGTTCGTATAGAGTGTAGGGAATTGTAGGCCATCGAAAGGCGAAAGAGTCGAAATTTTCCAAATAATTACGAAATAGTTGAAACGATCGAATAAAGGAATCGATATCTCTTGGAACGTTGTCAATCCGTTCAAACGTATCGTATCTTTTTGTTCTCATTGAAACGACGAATCGATGAGTTTCGTTGCGATCGTTCGTTTATTTATCGAGGAAGGAAAGATGCGCGAAAGAGGATGGAAAGGAAGATGGATCGATTATTTGGAGAATTTGACTACAGATTTAAGTGAAATATTTATTGACCAATGATCTTGCCATATATATATAATAAATATATATATATATATATATATATTACTATTATTATTGTATCATAACACCGATGCTGCAGAAATTCTGAAATCTTCAATCCAAGTCGGCAAATTAAAAAAAAAAATAGTTATTATCCGAATTGTCACAATTATTCTTTACATCCTTTCCCATAGAATCGACAATGATATCGCGAGGACATGTATACACACGCGCAACAAGCACGCACGCACAACCGTCATTTCGCCTAGTGAATTACTCTACCTTAAGCGCATCTCATGTTATCATAGGTGTTAAATAAATGATGCATCAATATTACGTCGTTGCATTTTCTGGCTTCTTGACATCTCACCCGATCAACTCGTTCTTGATGAATATTTCATGAAAATATTATCGTTTCAAGTATATTGTTCGATAAATCTTATCGATACTTACTTATTCACGTACGCACGATTCTCTTTGACGACGCGAAAAAGAAAGAAGCGATCGAAAGAAATTCCTTTTTCAATTCTATTTCCTACGACCGTTTCCTGTCTCTAGGAATATGAGAAACGCGTGATATCCTGTTAGCGTGGGCCGCGTATCCGCGATTATGTAATTAACACTGGAGATTAGAGATAAGAGTGGAACGAAAGCGAAGTTATACATCTGGCGAAGAAAATAGAATTTTATGCTTTTGCGGTTCGTTACACCGCTGCTGGTTAATTACACACCGTTGAATTTAGTGGCTCCACTCACGCCGGAAAGTTAATCGAGCACGTAATAAGTGGAAGTAATGGGGAATTTAATCTTGTGGAATTCCGCGTGGAACTCTCGCTTTCGTTCGTTTCTTCAACATTTTGATCGCGTTTACCTAGCGCGCGATCCGATAAGCGATCTATAAGCGCAATTGTATCTAATCGATAGTCGCGATTGCATCAGAGATACAACGAACATTTACCTTATTCCCTATCTATAAAATACTATGATCGATATTTACAAATATACTTACTTCTTTTTCGCGTGTTTAGTATTTCGTATCGAAGAAAAGAGAATTTTTACACGAAACGATCATATTATCCCTCGACAAATTTTAAAATTAATATCACTGGAATACGAGTTACGCTCGAAACGATAAAATATACTCGGGCAAAACATATGGCTAGATTTCGTTTGCACGTGCTCCCCGACGTCACCGACGTGTTCTCCCGTCCAAGCCATAGTTAACGAGATGAGAAAACGAGCAATTAACTTGGTCACCTAAGGGAGACGATGTTTCTCGGATTCGGGTGATCGTTGTTATCACGTGTAAAACACGTGTAGCCTGATTGGTCGTGCTACGGAATGGAAACGGGACTCGTGCGAGAGAAGCAGGTGGCGAGAAATTTTAACGAGATTGCACGAGATTATTTTTAGAAATAATGACGACCACGCCAAGTTTCGAAGATTAGAAGTTTTAGATTTACGATGCCGCGTAAGGAGAGGAGAGGGATGGTCCTACGTTGATGCGATTATTTTTAAGGGGAAATATAATTTGCTAGAAAGAATCGTCGTGTTTCTAAAACTGTGAACCCGTTCGTTCACCCGTTCATCTACGCGAATACTTCCCTACTTTCGCATCGAATCGAAGCGAACCGAAACGCACTCCATCCGAGATGGAGTTCGGTTCTCTTCTCGGCCTCGATCTCGATACGTCGATTCCGTACGAGAGAATAACCGCGATATACGCGTCCAACCCGTTTGGTATGCGCCGATAACGCGGAACAACAAAATCCACTTATTCTGTGGCGAAAAGGAAAGAGATTCGCGGTACGCTCTTTTTTCTTTTTCTTTTTTTTTTTTTTCGCGTTCAAGCTGAAGATAATTCATCCCGTCCTCGATAATTAGCCGTTTCGTAACGCGAGCGAGGAAGCAAGCGCGCATCTGGACGCGTCGTTCGCCTCATAATCTCCGATCGACGTGGATTCCAATAAACGGTAGCCGCCACTAAATCTACCAAATAATAAAATAAATCGTTGGATGTCGTCGAAGGGGCTAGTTCCGATCTACGGATAAGGGGAAAGCTGAAGATATATATGCGGAGGGAGGGTTGGAGGGAAAGAGAGGGAAATGGGAGAATGGGAAATGATGAGATTTATCGCGTCGACCGAGGTATTCCATCTTGTTTTAATTACCGAAGTCGCGTTGCCTTCTCCGATTTTCTCTTCCTCTTTTTCTTTTTTCGTTCGACCGTGGACGACAATCGGAAAGATTGGAAAGATTACAAACGATTAAGTTCGATCTCTTTTTTTTTTTTTTTTTTTTTGAAACTTGATTTATCTTTTCTTCACATAGAAGATATACAAATTGACAAGAAAGATTTTGAGATCACGTCAAAGGATATATAAGCGATAAAATGAACGGATATTTTATAAAATTTTTTGATGAATCGTCAAAAGCGACGACTCTCACGAAATCTGGCCGATTTGAACACGTGTCCCGCAATACTTTTCTACTTTTTTTCTTTCGCGATTTCTCATACGTGGTTTCTTTTCGAACGAGTCGAAGCAGGCAATGCTGTGCCATAGGAGGTTTGGTTTCGATGCGTCTGAAAAGACGCATTCCACGGGGAGAAGGGCGATAGCGATTCGTCGGGCCGACCGAGGATGCATTTCGTCAGGCGAACAGCGGATAGGCCATCGCTCCTTAAACATAAATCAGTCTGTTCCGTTTCTTCTGTCGCGCGCAGTATGATTTGTGTGTTTTGTTACGCAATCGTGCATATGCTTGCTAGACGTGGAAAAACTCGAAGCAGGAAACCACGTGAGGGCCACGTGAGCCCGAACGGTTGGTGGAGAAGCGATACGCGATGACAAATTTCCTGGCTATTTTTCACGTTTGCGATCACAAATATATCGAATTTTCCCACCATAAAACGGTACGCGATTTACAAATATCTGTTCAACGAATTTTGACGTATCGTCGTGAAAGAAGAAAGAGATCGGACGTTGGTTGGATCGGTGGGAAGAGCGTTAAACAATTTAGAACGAAACCGCCGTATACTCGTACGCGGATCACCCCTCGATTCACGGTAATTAAATACCGAGTATCGTCCCCTTCTCGCAAGTGGCATCCCTACGAAGGGGATACTAGTAGTAGGGTCAGGTTATTGATATTGCGCCAGGGGAACAAATGATTCGACCGTGAATATGAATATTAATATTACTTCACCAACGCACCCTTATTTGTCACCATTTACGAACGATCGTCGACCTGAAACAATTATTGCGCGACGTAGAATCATAGATCCGTTCGATTCGATCGACCTTTGAACGCGTACGCGATCGTTGAAACGATTTTCACGAGAGAATTAAAATGATAAATTCATATTGGATGGGTTGAAACGGAATATAAATCATAAACGCACGATGGATAAGAATCTCGGTTGGTTTTCGGAACGCGTAAGATCGCGATGGAGCGGCATCGTGGATCGTGGATCGTGGATCGGACGAAGAAGGTTGGAGAGAGATCCGAACGTGGAGACTACGATCGAATCGTATCGATCTCGATGACATAGTGACGCCGTGCTTGACAAAGGCCTAAAAAACGTCTAGGAATGCCGACGGAAATATTTCGGCGGTGTCACCTAAGAGAGATACCTATCCTCTTCTCTTCCTTTTGTTCCTCTTGCTTGTTCGCTTTCTTCTATTAAACGTTCGCCTTCGTTTCGTTTTATCTTGCAACTTCTCTCCGAGTTAAATTCGAATTAAAAATTTGCTCGTACATTTCCTTTTCTCTTTTATCTTTAGCTTCGTTGTTAACAAATTGTTAACAACAGTTGTTCCACTTTGTACGTTTTCGTTCTACGAACGATGGATCTCATTTTTCAAAAATTTCAAACTTTTACAATCGACATTTTTACATCTTTTCGTGCAATTATAAATGTATGAATATAATATGAAAAAACGTGGAATTTTTCTTGCGAAATTCTTTTCTTTTTTAATCGTCGAAAGTTTGATTCGTAATCGTATACAAAGAGCGGGTTTTGGAGAGCGGGTTCGCTCGGATGTTAAAAGTCAGTTTCCCTCGTGGTGCTGCTTCATCAGCCATGGTAGACGTTCCTCGTGGTCGTCTACCTGCGGGAACACACTCGGTTCGCCTTTGCCTCGGCATTGGAGGCATCTCTGCCCTCGTGTTCCCACGGGCTCGAACCTTTGACGTACGATGTCTCGGATACGCGGTACACGACGTCCTCCTTCCCGATATCGTAGCCCCCTCCTCCCGCCACTCCTCCCGTCTCTTTCTTCCTCTTCGTTTTTTTACCTTGCTCGCGACCCTCTCCTCTCTCTTTTTGTTCGCGCAGAAAACCGGTAGCCTGCGGCGGCAGCTTTCCAAAGAATCGCCACTTCCGGATTTTAGATTCTATTCGAGGAATCGATTACGATGCATCGAGTTAATCGAGTAATTTCACCTTCCTCGATATTATTCCGATATATAATTTTTCGTTTTTTTTCGATTCGCAAGCAAGGATGAAAATACGAGGGGAGATCGCAATTTAATTTACGAAATTCGCGTAAA